TCGAGATAGATGAACTAAAAATCAAAAGTATTAAATTCAAACAAAACATGTAAATCACATAGAAATTCACGTCTTTCTTCGTCTTTCGCAGTTTGTTCTTCTTATGCTGTAGACTGAACATACGTAAACTTGCTACAGTTTCTTGGAAATTCTATTTTTATTTTCTTTTTAATATAATGACCTTCGACATTAGCCTTTGTCACCCAGACTATCACTGTGTGTATCAACTACCACGGATATTGTTAGTGTGGGTAACAGAGTCTACCACTAGCACGCCATGTCATGTTGACACTATATTTAGCGGTGTACGTCTATAATACCATCGTCTTACACAATTTATCTTCCTCGGACTGTAGACTGTACAAGTGAAAATGTGCTACAGTTTCTCGGAAATTCTATCGAAAACGTCTAAATCACATAAAAATCCACGTCTTTCATCGTCTTGCACAGTTTGTCTTCCTTATGCCGTAGACTGAACATGCGTAAACTTGCTGCAGTTTCTCGGAAATTCTATTTTTATTTTCGTTTTGATATAATGACCTTCGGCATTTGCCTTTGTCACCCAGACGATAACGGTGTACGTCAACCACCACTGATATAATATTATGAATGTATGTTATGTATGCATGTCAAGTTCAACTGATATTGTTAGCGTGGGTAACAGAGTCTACCACTATCACGCTATATCATATTGACACTATATCTAGCGGTGTACGTCTATAATTATAATATTATGAATGTATGTAGTATGAAAGTAGGTCAACTTATAGTGAGATATAATATAATGTATAATGTTTATACGTTTACACAGCTATAATTCCACGTGTTCCTCTGTATGTCTCCAACTTGGTATATTCAACAATGTAGTAATATATCAACTTGGTATCTTTAACAATGTAGTAATATATCAACTAGTTAATAAACCTCTAGATATAATATACACGGCTGGGTTCCACATGGCGCTATATCCTTACTTAGAAAGTTCATCGGGACTCTCCGATTTTAGTCCCATGCTCCATCCGAACGACTAGACGGTGTTCCTGCAGGACTGACAGAGGGACACCAAGCCGGAAAATCCCGAATAGCTTTCTCAACCAACACTGGCATCAAACCCATAACCCCCTGGTTAACGAACGAGTGTCTTACTCACTGAGCCACCGCGACTCGCTTGATAATATAATACTTGACGTAATATCAAGGTTAATTTACGTCCGCTTCCATTGAGATGATACCGTAGACAATAAATCAATGTCTAAGTATTCTGATATTAAAATATTGATGGTCGTGGTAGTCAACGAGTCAGGGGATTGAGTTCGAATCTCGAGGCTGGCTCGCTACCCTGGAGGTTGGGTGTTCGATCTCTGTATTGGTCGAGAAATTTAAATTCATCCAGATTTTCCGTCGTGATTCCCCCTTGTCAGTGATTGAGGACGGAGGGCCTGACAAGGACCGCTGTCTAGTCGTTCGGAGGGTCCGAAAATCCGAGGTTCCGTGTACACATTGGCGTGTACGTAAAAGATCCCTTGACAGTTGGAATTCGATATAAGAGTAGGCCGTAGTGTCGCTGCCCGGACAGAATTTCCCTGAAAGTACACTGTATGGATATCCGTCTTCATTAGCCCATTTCGGGGCAGAACAGTAGGACGTTAAACTTCATTTCATTTTTATTTCATTTCGAAACTTGAGAAGGACCTTGAGATTTGTCGATCCTGATTTTCGTCTGCCAGGGACAGCGTCCGTTAAGCTGACTAGTCCTTCGTCTGATACCGGATACTAGGCGGACATTTTTTTTATATTCTTACGGTGGAAACGGACGTTTAGTTGAGAGATTACTTCCTAATGTCAAAATAAATTATTATTTCCATAATTATGTGCTGTGGTTTATTGTTTAAAATAAACTTATTTTATTACAACTGTTGATGCCGGGGGGGGGGGGGGATTTGAGAACAAACAAATAATCAGTATTTTACAATGGAGAGGGAGAAGATAGGGTTAAACGTTCACTCGAAACAAACTAGGTAATTTCGGGACTAACATATACAGTGTATTTCAATTTTTTCAATAATACGCTTGCACGTAGGGCTGGGACCGGGGGACAAGGAGATAACCCAAGAGGCTGGACAGGCGACCCTACTCCTTGTCACATACAACCGGGGAATCGAAACCACGCCAGTTGACTCAATGACAGATCTTATGAAACACCCAGGGCTGGATTGGGCCATCGGCCGGTCAGACAAAAAATGAAAAAAATAATTTGGTGCAATTCGTCTAATAAAACCTTTTTCTTCTGAACATTATATGGGGGGGGGGGGTGTATTGAACCGGTCATGCAGCGATGATGATCATGTTGTATGTGGCCGGTAGCTTTAACGGGCCACCACGCCATCACTGGAGTTTGGAATGGGCTGGTATAATAGACTTTCTGGGCCGGGTGTGCTGGGTGTGGGCCGGAATTCGGAATCCGAAAATTTCACCGGATTCACCAGACACTTTCACCCGCAAATTTACTAATTATTAAGTCCCCTGCACCCTGTTTCTGGGGATACGTCGGAAACGTCTGCCGATCGTTTGTAACTCAAAAAAAATTTTCAATTTTAAGGCCTCAGCAAAATTTGATGATAGCTAGTCTGCTTGCTGAATATGAGTGCGAGACGATTTCCTGAGACTGGTGTTAAACATTCCTTAACATTTTTATTAACTCGTTATTTACAGAGATGAAATTACAGAATTGGGATGTCGGGAATGGTCTCAAATTGCGGGAAATGGCCTCCGATTTTTCAAAATTTTCCCGGGGGAGAGCACATGGACTCCCCCATCCGGGCTCCGCGATCAGTAAAAGGGGCCGCTCCGACACGGGACCTCGGGCCGTTTCCCGGCCCCAATCCGACCCTGGATACAACACGCACGCGCTAACCATTCGGCCATCCAACACCCTATTTTACAGTGGGTAGCGACTAATAAAACATAATTAAGGTGAGAGAGAGAGAGAAATGGGGTTTAACGTCCACTCGACACAAACTAGGTCATTTCGGGACTATCACATTGTTCAATTTTATTTCAATCATTCGCTTGTGCGTAGGGGTCTTTAGCAGCGGGAGGAAACCGGAGGACCCGGAGTAAAGCCACGAGGTTGGACAGGCGACCCTACTCCTTGTCACGTACAACCGGGGAATCGAAACCATTCGGCCATCCAACCCCCCATAATTAAGGTAGTGGAAATTAAAAGAAGGTATAACAGCTGTTTTGATGTAACATCATTTACAGTTAAATATTACTTTAAATTGCGTTTTAGAGTTCGAATCACGCTATGGGCCCGAGAAGAACTCGTTCTCGCTTTTCAGGGTGGCCTCGGCGGAATTGACAAAGGAAATGTGCCTAATCCATCGGATAATGTAAAAAGCTGCATTCCAGGCTAAGTTCCCCATCGTATTGCACGCCTGGCGATCGAAAAGAAAAATACATTAATTAGTCTTAAATTGAGAAGACGTTAAACCCCATTCCAGTATTATATATATTGGGTGTGACTGTGATAAATACGGGGTTAAATGTACTGTCATGAACTGGCGTGGTTCCCCCGTTTTCCATTATGCAGGTGTGCAGGTATTGGAATTCCGTGTAAGAGTAAGCTGTCGCGCCGCTCTCCAAGACAAGATTATTTATATATATATTCTCACCTGGTACAATAATTGATTGTTTTATAAACTTGGACGACATTAGTCACTCTATCTATTTCACTATAAAACTACAACAATGCAGGATAAATGGACAGGTATCATCCTCTCAAGGTCTGTAAATTTGTGTAACGAAACAGCTGACCGACAGCCGACAACTCTATACGCCTATATTACGCGTGGGTGTATATAGAAAAATTGCAAATAGAAAAAAAAGTGAGGAGTCCTTCCGTATTCGTGACTGAGACATTCTCCTATTGAACACCAAAACCAAATTTAAATAAAAGAAAGATGGTCAAATTCAGGCTGATATGGATTTTAGCAAATTTCATGAAATTCGGGCAATAATTCAGCCCTGAAGATAGCTTTGATACATTTTATGTGAAATCAAGGGCTATAACGCTAAGCATATTCATAATTATGATGTCAGATTAGTAATTCTTTCCTCAGTTGATTTTAATGGTAAATCTATGACATGCCTTGGCCTATAACATTTTTTCTACTATGTCCCGACCGGGCGCACCGAATTGCCCAATATCACCCAATTAATAATACCCAATAATTCCAACTGTCAAGGCATACGTGAATGCCAATGTATACACGGGACCTCGGTTTTTCGTCCCACCCAAACGACTAGGCCCTCTGTCCTGCACCACTGACAAACGTAAACCACGTCGGAAAATCCAGATGAACCGCGACCTCCATGCTTACAAGCCAACGTCTTACTCACTTAGTAAGCTAGCACCCTTTGGCTCCCTGTTTAGAACGGAATTAGGTTAATGTCTCGATCTGCCACTTTAAGCGATTGGAATCACTTGTAAACTACAGCAAACTACTGTTCTGCTCCCACTGTGCTAACGAAAACGGGCATACGCCATACAGTGTGCTATGAGGGACACTTAGAGCGGACAGCGGCGCTGCGGCCTACTCTCAAGGAATCTTCAACGTGCACGCCACATACACGAGACTTCGGTTTTTTGTCCCATCCGAGCCATTTCGTCCCTGGTTAATTAGTATTTTGTATTATTTGATTTTTTAGGTTAATAGATGATCCAGTGCCAGCAGATGATACGTGTACAACAAAATTTACAATAAAATTCAATATAAAGTGTACAATAAAATTTCAATACATAACAATTTCATAAATATAACAAATTCAATGATTCTCTGTGGCAACAATTCCATGGCGATTCTTCCCCACACGGATATCCCGCCTGAAAAATCCTTCGTTAATGCTTTTTTGTTGTAACTGAAAAAATAAATATTTGATTGTTAATATATTTTAGTGTACAATTTACTTTGTTGTTTATTAATAAACGGGCCCGCTCTAGCGTGGAGATGTTCCGAAATGATAAAGCGAATGTGTCCCGAAAGTAAACTATGTCGTGTGGACGACTTAACCAACGTATTTGGGCACACAATTGTACTTTGTAAAAATTGTATAAAAAAAATATTGTGTTCTTGAATGTGTCCAATTTAACAGCGAATTTATTATTATTATGTAACATACTAAGAACCTAACTACATTTTTTGGGCACCAACCACCACCGCCCCCCCCCCCCCCAGTCAAAAATTTCCCCGTACGCCTATGTGGACGACTGCACCAACGAGTGTGGACGACTTCACCAGATTTTTCGTGTGGACGACTTTGCTCGTGGACGACTTAACTGATATTCCTCTTGCCATGCCTTCGAACCTGCACCTGCTTCTTTTTTTTCTTTTGAACATACAATTATTTCGGTGGGTGCATGGGTATTTTGTTTATACGACACAGTATGAAAGTGCCATTTAACGAAAACGAAAGTTGATTAAGATGCCAAGTTATGGCAACTTAAAAGTAAATAGCACGATCTGCTTAGTCACATAATAGAGTAATTAATTTAGAAGCTTCACACAGAACGATAATTTGCCTTACACCAGAGAATTTAGTAAGGCAGAGTAGGGTGAAGCTTGGTGATTTTATTTATATTTTCTTTTCTTTTCTTTTTGTATAGAATTGGTATATCAGATGGTTGGAGATGTTGTTGATATAGGGATGCATTCTGTTGGACCATATGATCCAGAGGTAGAGATACATGATATGGAAGGATTTTGTGGAATGTATATTGTTTATATGTGTAGCAGCAAAGGATTTAAAGTGCTGTAATTTAGGGCAGTGTAGAAATAAGTGACTGTAGGTTTCATTATTTTTCTTGCAGTATTGACATTTATAGTCATCTACGTAAATATTTCGAGTGTGGAGAATATCTTTTGTGGGAAATGCATTGTGTATTATTTTGTGCATAAATTCTTTTTCTATTTCAGATAGTGTTGGACATTTATATAAATTATGCCAAACTTTTTCAAAATTTATATGAGGTAGGTGTTTGTTTATTTTTGGTTGTACGTTCTTACTATCAATGAGTGACCAGTACAAGTACAGACTTTTTCTTTAATCGATAGGTTGTAAGTAGACCAGTGACTAATAGTTGATTTAATCGTCATGATGAGGGGTAACCAGATTTTTTTCCATTTTATTGATCTCAAAACAAAAGCCCAGTAATTTAATTGTGTCTGTTTTAATGTTTATGTTTATATTTTCAGGAAATGAGTCATTTGATGGTTTACGAACACCAACATGGAGGAATTCGGTTTTATCTAAATTTAGTTGAGAACTAGATACGGAGCCAAAATTTATACGTAAGGAATAGAGAATCATGGATAGAGGACAACCTTGACGGATCGAACGATTATTTTTGATATTTTGAGAGAAGGATCCATTTACTTGAACTTTACTTTTCAAATTTTTAAACAGTATTGTAACCCAATTTACGATGTAATTTGGAAAATTCATGTGTTTTAGTAGGGTTTTTATATAATCGTGTTCAATACGGTCAAAGGCTTTTTTCCTAATCAAACGATAAGATATAGGCATTAGTTTCATGTGTGTCTAAATAATTTAGGATTGAATCAATTGAATACAGGTTATCGAAGATGCTTTTATTTGGTCCGGCTCCCGTTTGTGTTTTAGAGATCAATTTGTTAATAACTGTGTTCATTCATATACTTAATATTTTTGTGATGATTTTATAGTCGACACATAACAGGCTTATTGGTCTATAGTTCTTAAGTAATCGGTGGTCGCCTCTATTCTTATAGACAAACAATTTATTCTTATAATTAATTATTATTATACCGGTTCTCATTGTGTTTGATAATTCACCCTGTAGATAGACGTTGTTTATTACTTCTGTCAGGTCGGTTCCTATGGTGTCAAAGAATTTGATATAGAAATCTCCTGGAATACCATCGATGCCTGGGCTACGGTTTGATCTGAAACTTTGTAAGGCCTTAAGATCTTCATCTTTAGATATGAAATGAGACAGGGAATCTCTTTCCGTGTTAGTTAGAGTATTTATGTTACTGTTTTCAATATAGGAGTTTATTAGGTTTTCGTTAATGTTTTGGGATGTATATAGTTGTTGGTAATATTGGTGAATTGTGTCTAGAATATCTTGTTCATTATCAAATACTGTATTATTTTGATTGATTAATTGTTTAATTTGCTTTTTAGCACCGTTTTTGACCTCAGCTAATTTATATATTTTAGAATATTGTAACCTTGTATTGTATTTTGTTCTATTATTTCGATTTTTGTTTGAATTTCATGCATTGAGTTAGTATTCATAGGTAGTATGGAAGTAGATCAACTTATAGTGTGATATATATTGAGACTATATTTATGTTATATATATGAATGCATATCTAGCACTATGCATATCTAGCGGTGTATTATGAATGTATGTTATATTAAAGGACGACGGATATTGTTAGCGTTGGTGACATGGGCTACTCCTAGATCTATCTTTATAATAGTATTAACATGTCACGTTTAGATTATATTTAGAGAGAAAGATAGATAGATATGGGGTTAAGTGGAGGGAAACCGCAGTTCAGGACCCGGAAAAACCCACGAGATTCGTTGACACGTATATGCGGGGAACCTACTCCATGCAGATTGACTCTATGTATATGATAGACCAGGAAAAAACCCACGATAAATATATTTGTGACAATGTATCTTTAATATCCATGTGGTTGAAGCGGATATTTAGTTGAGAGATTAATTCTCCAAATATTGCGGGAGGTTGCGTGACCGAAAGGTTAACGCATGCGCGTTGGATCATAAGGTCTGCAATGAGTCAAGTGGTGTGGTTTCGATTCCCCGCTTGTACGGGACAAGAAGTAGGGCCCATCCTCCTAATTTTGCTCCCACTTCTAAAGACCCATACGCATAAGCGAATCATTTACATAAAATCGAAACATATGTTAAAAACGAAACTCTCTCTCTCTCTCTCTCTCTCTTATTAAGGTGAATAATTTCTGTACATGTTAACTATTACCTACATCCTATATTATTTATATTATATGAACTATTATAGATGGCCAATTACTACTAAACCAAGCATATCATAGTATGATGTACTATTAATATTATATGAACTATAATAGATAACCAATTAATACTAAACCAAGCATATCATAGTATGATGTACTATTAATATTATATGAACTATAATAGATGGCCAATTAATACTAAACCCAGCATATCATTGGTTTATAGTGGAGAATAATTAACATCAAAGTTTACTGTATTACAAGATATGATGGGAATTATTAATGTCTATAATCAGTATATTTCAAGTGAAATGAAATGAAATGGATTTTAACGTCCTACTGTTCAGCTCCAACTGGGCTAATGCAGTGTGCTATAAGAGAAATTTTGCTCTGACAGAGGCTCGACGGCCTACTCTTATTTCGAATTTCAACTCTCATGGGTTCTTTTATGTGCATGCCAATATGTACAATGGACCTCACCTTGGTGTTTCATCCCATCCAAAGGACTATACGTTGTCCTACATCACTGACAGGTTAGCCAATTAACGTCTTACTCACTGAGCCACCGTGGCTCCCATGTGGAATGAATCAGAATTGTAACAAAGGTTAACCTAAGCTATATTGTACAAGTGATGTAATTATTTATAATGGGTATAACGAACATCTATTCAAGTGAAATGAATCAACATTAAATCAACTGCTATCATTAGACGAGTAATATAGTATTTTATGACTAAACGAAGTATCATAACATATAATTGATTGATCAATAGTAGAGGTCTAATAATATTGTAATGATATCATTCAGGTATATAATACATGATATACTAATGATATTGTAATGATATCAGTCAGGTATATAATACATGATATACTAATGATATTTATTTTAGCTTGTAATATATTTATTCACAGAATATAATTATACATTATAATATTTACAGTATTTTATAATTTCCACACCTTTAATTTATTTTTTTACTTATTCCCTGTTACTATATAAGACACACACAGGCAAAGTATTCGCTGTTACTATATAAGACACACACGGGCAAAGTATTCCCTGTTACTACATGTATATATGACACACAGGCAAAGTAAAATACAATAATATATAATAATTAAAACAAATATTTTTGATTATTTATAATATGTATAGTCTAATAGTTGAGTAGATATAAAAGAGTGAACAGTAAAATTATTTATAATGTGTATAGTGTAAGAGTTGAGTATGTATAAAAGAGTAAAAAGTAAAATATGATATATATAAATAAAATCATTGCCTGTATTTTGCACACCTATAATACAATAGAGCGATACAGATTTTAAGTACATTTAGTGTCAATAAGAAAATCTGGTTTTAAATACTAATTATAAATTTCAATGTTTCAATTATTGCAATATTTGATGACTTTACGTCTAAATGAAGATTATATAGAGAAAAAGAATTACATTAAATAAATAATTTGCAGATATTTTCTAATTAAACAGGTTGGCAGTGGGATTTTGGAGTGTAGAGTTTTTTGGCTGTTGAGTACATAGTGTCTATCTGAAAATATGCTTCAAATTTTAAAATATGGCTCTTAATGTTTCAAAAGTTACTATATTTGGTGACTTCAATAGCAAATAAAGATAATGTAAGCAAGAAAATTGTTTATAATTCAGAGTTGGCTGAGAATATCTTGTGAAAAGGTTTACAATAACCAATTTCCATGTTAATTTTTTGAGATGACTGGATGAGCAAGACTAATATGATTTGTATAGTTTAGAAAGAGCTGGATAGTAGGGGCTTGTATCACTGACAAACATTGGGTGTTTATGTTAGGGGTTAAAAGATGGGTCGAATGCTTGCCGACGGCAATTCGTCTGCTATTCTAGAGAGATATTTTCATAAAGGATTTAAGTTGTCAGTTATATCAACTTTAAGGGTATTTAATTTAGTAACTTTAGATGTTATATTTAGGATTGAGTTTTTTTATTGTGATTTCTAAGTATGACAATTACCCTTTAGGCTTATTTCATATCTAAAGTTATTTCTTAAACAAAGTAGATTTGTTCTATATTAGATTGAAATAGATGAAAGACTTCGAAGCTCTTCGGAGGGGATCACGGTGGCTAGGTGGGTAAGACGCTGGCTCGCTATCCTGGAAGTCGGTTTTCGATCCCTGCATTGGCCGAGAATGTTCATCCAGATTTTCCGGTGTGGTTTCCCCTTGTCAGTAATGCAGGACAGAGGGCCTGACAAGCACAACTGTCTAGTCATTCGGATGGGACGAAAAAACGAGGTCCCGTGTACACATTGGCGTGCACGTAAAAGATCCCTTGACAGTTGGAATTATATATGAAAGTAGGCCGTAGTGCCGCTATCCGGGATAAATTTCCCCCATAGCACACTGTATGGCGTATGCCCGTCTTCATTAGTCGAGTTCGGAGCATTTCATTTCATTTCGAAGCTCTTCGGGGAAGGTGTTAGAAGGAATATTTAGGGATGTTCTGGAATATTCAAGCATTCTCATCAATAAATTTTTCTAACTTAAAGAAATCTAATAGGGATGTTTGAAGGTTTTGATCTTATTATATTATATTTAACAATATAATATTTAATTACAAGTTCTTCGGAAGAGGTGTTCGAGGGAATAATCATTGAATAGTTATCAAAGTGAGAGAGAGATGGGATTTAACGTCCACTCGACACAAACTAGGTCATTTCGGGACTAACATATGGTTGAATTTTATTTCCATAATTTCCATAACGGGGTCTTTAGCTGTGAGAGGAAACCGGAGGACCCGGAGAAAACCCACGAGGTTGGACAGGCGACCCTACCCCTTGTCACGTACAACCGGGGAATCGAAACACCACCAGTTGACTCAATGACAGACCGTGTGATACAGCGCGCGCGTGCTAACAAGTGAGAAATAATATGAGATTCTAAATAAATTAGAAACCAAAAAGATTTCTCAGGTATGGAGATTTTGACTTTAATAGGTTCAACGATAGAAGAATTAGATGCTCTTCGGCAAAAGTGTAAAATATGAAGAGATTCAGAGTGAAATGAATTGTTTTGAAAAAATTATTAAGATTACGCAAAAGCTTTTGAATGTTTTGTCTATATTACATTCAGAGTTGAGAAATGGATTCCAAGCTCTTGAGACAGTATATCAACATACTTTTAAAAAGTAATTTTAAACTAAGTTCGGGAATACCCGACCTCGAAGTTCGAAAGATCTAAAAGTTTCGAGGTAATAAAGTGTCCCGAATAATATTTGTAATAAAAGTAAACTGAACTTCCACTTGATTGATT